TCAGGGGTTAAACAAACCTTGCATAACCTTTGGTCTGTTGTAGGGTTATACAAAGATTCATGCTCTAAGGCCAGGTTTGGACAACACACCAGAACCCCTTGGCAGGTCGACGTTCATAACAGTGGTCACATGTGCCTTGCATGTGCCACAGTTCATTGTGAACTGGGTCAGTTGCCTAGTTCTCCCTGTGCCCTGCCGTGGGGCTTGTCCGCTCGAGTGCCCTGGGTGGCTTGCCCAGTGTCATGGGGAGGGGGCAGCACACCTGTCTCCCCTGGAACACTCCCTTCTGCAAACAGTGTCAATTGCTAACCTTTGTGCAGGTTTAGGGGAGTCTGCCACCTAGTGTCTGAAAATGAAACTGCAGGCATCAGACACACATTCATCTTAATGTGAATGACCCTGAGTTGCATACATAGCACTAGTGTTCTCTCCTTGGCATGCATGCCAAATTTCAGTGGTCTGTGTTTCACAGTCCTTGCAGTATAATATTGTCAGGAAAAAAACACATCTTTTATTACAGATACAACAGAGATAAGATTCTGATGTGATCATAAAATTACTCGAGGAAAACTCAATAAAATCCATAAGCTTGGCCATTTGATAATTAGCTTTGTTTATTTTCAAGCATGCCTGAATATTTCCAAGACCTCTTCCTTCCAAATATTACAGAAAGGTAGCAGTGAAAAACCTGCAGCAAGAGAGAGAAGCGGAAAAGTTCTGCTTTCTATCCTGATGCAACATTTGTGGTCCTAACAGCACTTTGGAGAAGGGAAGAATATTGTCCTGTATCCTACTGAACAATATGCTGCAACCATTAGAGATTCATTCAACCATGTTAGAAATACCTCGGAGCTTTTGCCACTCCGTACTCAATTATGAACCCACTTTTTCCAAGTGGCAGTGCAATCCAGTGCAATTTTAGACTAAGGACTGACAGGTCTTATCCCATCCTCTGTTAAATGGTCAAGTATATTATTTGGTTTGTGGAGCACATGCATCAGATTGCTGTTCTTTCTTCACCACAACACACAAACCATCCCCCGCCCCATGTTTTCTGTGTTTCTACATTCTTGATATGTTGGAACAACAAATAGGCCAAGGCAAAACCCACCCTGTACGCACTGTGGATGTCCAGGTGTGCTAGTGCAGGACTGTGACTTCAGAGCACTGGGTTCTAGTCCCCATTAGTTCATGAAGCTCACTGGGAGGCTCCGGGCCAGTCACTGACTCTCAGCTGAACTACCTCACAGGGTGGTTGTGCGGATAAAATGGAAAGGAGAATAGCTGCCTTGGTTCCTTGAAAGACAGGACAAGCCGGAAAAAGGGGACAGCAGAGGATGAGGTGGCTGGATGGAGTCACTGGGACAGTGGGTGTGAGCTTGGGTGGACTCGAAGGGATGGTGGAGGACAGGAGAGCCTGGAGGAACGTTATCCATGGTTTGTGATGTGTCAGGCACGACTTTGCGACTAAACAACAACAAAAGAATTGAAGGAGAGATTTGAATGACCCGGTGGCTGTTGCCAATTATACTCTGATGGCAAACATCCCATTTTTGGAAAAGCTGCTTGAGCGGGTGGTGGCCCAGCAGTTCCAGGCACTCTTGGATGAAACAGATTATCCAGGTCCATTTCAATCAGGTTTCAGGCCGTGGGAGTCGGGGGGGACTGTACCACAGTGGTTCTGCTCCTACCTGGCCAACTGTGTCCAGATGGTGGTGCTGAGGGACAGTTGCTCTACCACATGGCAATCATGTCCCTCAGGACAATATGCTGTCCTCCGTTCTGTTTAACATGTCCACAGAGCCACTGGGAGAGGTGGAGGCTGGCTCTCATACGTAAGCTGGTATCATCCAGCTTTACAACTCCTTTTCGTCTAACTCAGGTGAGGTGGCTTCCATTATTAAGAGTTGCCTGAGCTCAATAATGGGCTGGATGCATGCCAAAAAATTGAAGCTCAGCCCAGATAAGATGGAGGCGCTGTTGGTGGATGGCCCAGAGGGTGGGTCTTCAACCAGTCTTGGATGGGGTCACACTCCCCTGAAGGACAGAGTTCATAGCTTGGGGCTGTTCCTGGACCCAAAACTTTCACTTGAGTCTCAGGTAGACTGGTGGCCAGAAGAATCCTCCTGCAGCTGCAATTAATTCATCAACTGCAGCCCTGGACCGGGCAGGCAGCGCCTGGCACAATCACCCCTGCTCTGGCAGCCTCTCGACTGCGCTACCCGTGAAGATGGCCTGGGAACTTCAACTGGGACGGAACAGGGCGGCATGATGGCTGGTGCAAGCGGGACGACACAGCCATGCAGCCCCAATACTTTATCATTTTAATTGGCTACCAGTCGAGCTCCGGTCCCAATTTAAGGTGCTTGTTCCAAGATATAAAGCACTAAATGTCTTGGGACCACAGTACCCAAAGGACGGCACGTTTCCATACGTATCTACCCAGCCCTTAAGATCTGTTTTGGAGGTCCTTCTGCGACCCGTCCTCCAAGGTAATAAGGATGGCTAATAGCGGAGGGGCCTTCCCTGTAGTTGTGCCCCATCTATGGAGCCATCTCCCAAAGGCAGTTCACCTGGCGCCCTCGCTACAAGCCTGCCAGCACTTGGCAAAACCAGTTTTATTCTCTGGACATTTTAATAATTGATTTTATTCTGATAATTTTCACCCATTTGTTGGTCAATATGTACAGCTTTAATTATTGCCCTCAGCTGTGTACTGCCCTATTTTATTGTCTTTTGTTCATTCTATTTTAATTGTTGCTTTTATTGTTATTATGTTTCATTTATTGTGATCTGCTTAGATAGCCCTTTGTCTGATTAGCAGAAGATAAATCTAAAAGTAAGTAAATAAATAAGCCTCTGAGCATGAAGAGTTTTACTTTTTAAATTCGCTTAAAGCATAGCTGTATCATGACAGCAGGAATGAAATGGAGTCTGTTTATTTAGAAATGCATGCCATTTTGTTGCAGGAAAAAATAATATATTTTAAATAATGAAATGGGCACGTGCCCAGTGGTCTGTCTCCTTTAACAAATGAGAGGAAAGGAGGATGCAGCAGTCTTCTCCCAAAAGAAGAGCCACACCCCTCCTGATGGTGTAGTACAAGCTGAAGGGGCAGGATGGCAGTCCAAGATTGGCAGGGAAATGGTCAAGGATCCCCTAATTGGGCTAAATTTGTTCAAATCTCTAGGGCCTGATGAACTTCATTCCAGAGTCATAAAAGAGCTACCAGAAGAACTCTCAGAATCGCTATCATCTTTGAGAATTTGTGGAAGACAGAAATCCCAGATGACTGGAGAAGGGCTAATGTTGTCCCTCTCTATAAGAAAGGGAAAACATGAACCTAGGAACTATAGACCAGTTAGTCTGACATAAGCCCCTGGAAAAATTCTAGAAGAAATTATAAAACAGTCTGCAAACACCTTGAAGACAATGCAGTAATTACTAGAAGCCAACATGGATTTCTCATGAACAAATCCTGTCAGACTAATCTAATTTCACTTTTTGACTGGGTAACCTCCCAAATGAACTGTGGGAATGCTGTGGAGATAATCTATCTAGGCTTTAGCAAAGCCTTTGACAAAGGCCCCATGACATCCTGATTACCAAACTAGCAAAAAGTGAGCTAGATAGTGCAACGTTTAGGTGGATCCACATTTGGCTGCACAACTGGACTCGGCGCTCATCAATGGCACATTCTCAAATTGGGGAAAGGTGACAAGCAGGGTGCGACAGGGTTCTCTCCTGAGACCAGCACTCATCAACATTTTTATTAATTATTTAGATGAGGAAATACAAGGAAAGGTAATTAAATTTGCAGATGACACAATGCTGGGTGGAACAGCTAATACCCTGGAAGGATACAGGGTGATCTCAATAGGGTAGAAAACCGAGCAGTGAACAAAATGAAATTCAACAGGGACAAATGCCCAAGTCCTCCACTTAGGAACAAGAAACCAAATGCACCACTGCAGAATGGGAAACACTTAACTCAACAATACTGCAAATGCAAAGGATCTTGGGCTTGTTGTAGATAAAAGGCTAAATATCAGCCAACAATGTGATGCAGCTGTTAAAAAGGCAAAAGCTATTTTGGCCTGCGTTAACAGACGCATCACTTCCAAAACACATGAAGTGAGTCCTACTGAGTCCTGCTATACTCAGCCTACCTCACCTGGGATCCTGTGTCCAGTTCTGGCCTCCTAAGATTAAAAAAAATGTAGAGAGAGTACAGAGGATGAGTCAGAGACTTGGAGGCAAAGCCCTATGTGGAAAGACTGAGAGAATTAGGTATGTTCAGCCTCAAGAAGAGAAGACTGAGGAGAAGTATGATAGCACTCTGCAAGTACCTCAAAGGCTATCACAAAGAGAAAGGGCAAGATCTCTTCTTGTTCATTCCAGAGTGCAGGACAAAAGAAGAAAGAAACCAGATTTGGACTAGACACCAGGAAGAATTTCCTCACTGTCAGAGCAGAGCAATGGAAAGTATTTCCTGGGGAAGGTGTGGGCTCTCCCTCGCTGGAGACATGCAACAGCCATCTGAATGGAATGGTGTGACTTAGCGTCCTGCAACAGCAGGGGGCTGGACCCAACGCCTTCTGGCCCCTTCCAATGCCACCATCCTGGTGGGGCCCATGGCAGTCCAGGGCATTTGGAGGCCCATGGGGTTCAGCCCAAGTGGTACCACTCTGGCTACAGAGAGCAAGTATTCTCGTGCACCCAAACCACCCACGTGGCTTTAATATAAATAGCATATAATATAATCAGTGTTGCAAATGGAAAGATTTCAGAGTGGGCGATTGTGTGACGAATATCCATGAATCCAAGTGAAGGCAGCCTTCTGAAGGTTTCAGTGTCATTAAGTCATAGGGATGCCATTTCATTCTAGTTTACTTCAAATCCTGATTTGTTTTTCAGACCTACAGGCCAAGCTAGGACATAATTCTTTACCTCAAAACACAGTTTCATTTACACCATACACAAATCATGTAGCCATGATGTGAAAAACCAAACACTTTAATCCATCTGTTAGGAACAGTTCAAATTATTTAATTGGCTTACATTAATGTTGATCCATAATTTACAGTGCGATGGACCATAAACAACTTATTGCTGTGGCCAACAGCAGGTGAAAAGATCAATAACAGCATGGTACTAAAGCATTCAGAACGAGAGGCAGTAATTCATGTCACTTTTCAAGATACAGAGGCCTTTTATACCATCATTTTCCATTTTTCACCAGTGCATTTTATGTCCAAAAATATGGTAAGTGCATTATTTTGTGCTTTGCTTATTTTTCTTATATGCTTCCTAAAGGCTTTATAGGCATCAGAGTTAATATTGCTTTATATATTTATCTAAAAGAAGATGTTTATGGCACTAATGTATTTTGCATGGTTTTGGCAAAAGAGAACATTGATTGGTACTCCATGTACCTGGGCAGCAGTCTTATGATTTTACTTTAAGTTGGCATCTGGACTCATGTAATCACTGTTTTAAATATATTACGCTTAAGGCGTATTAGTTTTCTGGTCCTTGGTTCTAAATAAAATAAGTAAGTCCATCTGAAAGCATAAAATTCAGTTTAGAAAAATTGATGCCAATTATCCTTTGATTTGCAAGAATTCTGCAGGGAGGATATGAAAATCCTGACATAAACAAAAACAAAAACACAGATGCTCTGGTATGAGGAATCCAAAACAGAATTGGCTAGAGAAAAGTCGAGTGGAAAATCAATAGTGGCCTGGTGTGTTGAGATACTCTGGTAACACCAGTCTCATCCAAGAAAAATTGAAACTTGGTGGATCAGATTACCAAATGTGCCATGGTAGAACATGCTTACAGGGTAGCCAACAATTTTACTGTGACTGGGGTGTCAAGCTGGCCTTTCTTTCTTGAGGCAAAACACTGCTGAACAGAACCCTGGTAACGAGCTCTTCTTAACGAATCCAGCACAATTTGCTTCACATTTGTTTTAGGCTCAAGGCTGCATATTTGCTACAATTTTGCAATTGCTGATTTGGGGATCAAGGGTGTAACACAGCATCCTTAAATTGTAGGATTTGTTTCTTTTGCTTTGATTTAAAACAAGTTTCTAGCCCTTCATATGCAAATACAGTCTTAAAAGTATGTACAATCTCTGATACATCTTAGAAGCCACAGAGTAGAGCTAGAAAAATTTCCAGTGTTTTGAGCGTAGAAGTAGTGGGATACTGCTTCAGTGTTGTTACATAAGGGTCACCATGCCCTAATGACTAAAAGAAATAAGACAGATTGTGCAAAACAAGCAAATATGTAGCTTTGCTTAATATGCATAATTGAACTGTTTGCACTGAAAGATTTTTTTTTAATAAATCCTCCAACACACAAAGGTGTGTTGTGCTGACCCAAATTCATCTTTTTACAGTGCAATCCGATTCATGTCTACTCAAAAGTAAGCCTCATTAATTTTAATGGGGCATGGGCCCAGGTAGGTGGGAGTCAGTGTTAATCATTTTCTGAAACTCAAAATACAGGCTACTTGTATTGATATGGACCAAAACTTTACTGAAGAAGTCTCTGGCCAGCTGGGCTAGGTTTCGTACAATATCTCCACACCAAAAAAGTCATATACTTCCATACTAAAGAATAAATAACAAATCAAGCATCCCTTTGACAGTAAAGTTCTAATTACATTTTCCTGCAGATAATATCGGGCAACAAAAGACTACCCACTGGCTACTGAATTTGCCACATGGTGCCAAATACGGGCCCAACTCTCTTTCCAGATGAGGCTGAAAATCTGTGATCCTCTCAACTTGATGTGAAGCTATTGCCAACCAGAAACTGAAGCAAGAACACCCTTCAGATTTCTATTTCTACAATAGTGACTGTCATCCATGGTGTTTATCTGAGCTCAGTAACAACTAATTGAGAAAACATTTTTAAATCACTATTGTTTAAGCGATTGTGAAGTTGAGAGATATTCTGTGGTTTTCACCTCTGCTTATTTCTCTTCCTCTGTCCATTTTCTCAGAGAGAGTTGCAAAAAATGAGATCAGGTGCAAGCCTGACTCCCACAGTTAGTGGCACAAATTTGGGTAGAAAGGAGCACAGGTAAGCCTTTAACAGTTGCAAGGATGTTTCCAGGAAATGAAACTCTGCAGCTCTTTGCTTCTAAGAGTTCTCTTCTGTAACACTTCCTGATCACCAGTCCACACTAGCATTCCAAACACCTATCTGCAGCTCCAAGGCCGGTTTCCTGAGCACACAAGCAAAGCTGGCACAGACAAGGAGTCGAAGACTTCAAGGAGTGTTTCTGGAATTAGCACAGGACTGGGGTGGAGGACCGGAAGCCCTTGCTCCGGGACACGAGCGCGGTGCTCCCCGCGTCAGCCACACCCAGCAACGCCCCCGCCCCCTCTTCTCTTGCATGACACTTCAGTCAGTGCTAGCTCACAAAGACTACGGCTAAATTTAAGGCACTTCATTCCGAATGAGATATGCTTCCCTGCCATCTGCTGATGAACTGGGCGGTTGCCGTAGTGGAAGCCGATCACTTGCTGCACGACCACTGTAGAAAATATTTAGGCATGATAATAACAACAAGAAGAATACAAGTGTCACTACTGTTATTGCATAGGACTAGGCTGGAGTAGATAATGCACAGAGCATGTTTTTCTGACAACATTGTTGAACATGTTCAGCATGACGCTGGGATCAAGTAACAGTTACCCGCAGATACACTCAATTTTCTTTCAACCTTGTTGCTGAAAAATGTAACAGCACACAAAAGGATATAGCAACCATGTTTTCAAGCATATTACTATTTGTCATGTATCACTAAAAATAAATACGTTAAATTCAGAGTTTTTCCGTTTAGTTTTATATAGTTTCATTTTGTTAACTAGGCTAAATCTGTACTACAATTTAAAGATCTGTCTGTGTCAAAACATTCCTTCCAAGTGAGACTGTAATATACAAACTAGTCACAAACCACTCTTGGAAAAGACAGGACCTGCACAAAAGCTTGCTGTGACGTGAGTACAAAGAATGCAAAATAAAACCTTCTGTGAGGTTTAAAATGTCAAAAAAGTCACAATAACTAGAGGCATCTTCTTACAAATTAAAAAAAAGTAGTCTCCATGAAAAATAAATGAAAAAGTCATGCAAATCATGTACCTGTACAATGCATTTTTTTAAAAAAAAGAAGATTCCAATTGGTTCTGCCCAACTGAAGGAAAATGCTAAGTTTTTGTTAAAAGCTTGAAATATTCACAAGCTTGCATTATTAAAATACCAATGTAGATTCACCACCATGATTAAAAGTGATTCCTATTTAAAAATAAAGTTAGCTATGATTTAGAAGGATGTCCACTCACTAGAGAGCAAAAACAATAATGAATACTAATAATACCAATTTAAATGCCATTGAATCTCCATGCGTCCTTCCATCCTTCATTTCTAGCTTGTACTGTAATCAAGATTGCCATGAGTTAGTTGCTGTACAGGTGGCCAGATTACATATCTGTTATACCTAATGCTGTGAGAAAGATTAGTGAGAGAACAGGTAAAAGTATCTTTAAAAGGAGGCACTATTAAATCAAGACAAATATAGTTTACAAAGCTAATTTGTTTTTGGTTTTTTTACATTCTTCTACATTTCATGTCCAAGTCAATGGGTTTCATTACAGTTATACTGAAGCATCACCTTTAGTAGATCATGGACTCTGTGGATCGGTAGATCTCTATTGCTTTCAAGTAGACATGAACTCATGTGGAGTTCCAGTTGAATCTGGTTCACAGATGCAGTACAATACTTTGGAAGCATCAGTAATTTTTAAAACAGAATATACAAGTCTCTTCAAACATTTAAAAAAAGTCACATACACTGGGCTATCTAAAGATTTATATTAAAAGATAGTTATTAAGAAAAAAAGAGAGCAAATTACTTAATCTCAATGAAAGAAATGAAGAAGTTCGTGAAAAGCCTAAGTATATCCACTAACAAACATGGTCAGTATCCTCCATGCTCACACTGCTCCTTCGGCTACTTGTTTTGGAAGCCCCAGGAGACACTGATGAAAGGACTGGGTCAGTAACTCCGCCAGGAGAGAGAGTATCGTCCATCAAGATGTCTTCCAGTTTGGATCCCATTTTGGTGGGGACGGTGTAAGTGCCAGTGGCTGAATCAGTTACATTAGCCAGGCTGTCATTGAACGTGATGGTGCCATCTGTAAGGTCAAGAGTGGTCGTGCAAGAGAGGTCTGGGTGATGCTGCAAGAGCTCTTGGCTGCAGTTGTCAAGGATGGGCTCTTGCTTGATAAGCCGGTTTACCATCTCTGGTGAACAAAGGCCAGTTGATGGGACAATGGAAAGTCCATGTGCTCGAGCTTGCATCTCAAGTTCCTATTGTGAGGATACAGGCATAATAACAAACACATTAAGAAAACTAAAGTTCTATTTACGCATTTCTAGAGTGCCTTTTGTGGCAGAAGCCCTCCCAAGGTGACCCTGCATCATGGGGTTCCACAGGACTCTGTACTGTCCCCCATGCTGTTTAATATCTACATGAAACTGCTGGGAGAGCCCATCTGGAGGTTTGGGCTGGAGAGTCAGCAATATGCTGATGATGCTCAGCTCTACCTCGCCTTCTCATCCAGTCCAAGTGAGGCTGTCGCCATCCTGAGCCAGGGACTGGGCTCAATAACGGACCGAGGCTTAGTTCAGGTAAGATGGAGGTACTATTGGTAGGAGGGTCCTCTGACAAGTTGGAGGGGCATTGCCATGTCCTCTGCAGGGTCACACTCTCCCTAAGGGACAGAGTCCACAGTCTAGGGGTGCTCCTGGACCTGAGTCTGTCCCTGGAGTACCAGGTCTCCAAGAATGCCTTTTTCCAGCTAAGGTGGTTTTACCAGCTTCACTCCTACCTAGACAGAGGGGACCTTAAAATAGCTACCCATGTGCTGGTAACTTCCAGAATAGATTTGGAGTAGATTATTGTCATGTGCTCTATGTGGGGCTGCCCTTGAAGACAGTCCGGCAATTGCAACTGGTACAACACTGGGCTCGGTTGGTGGCTGGCGCTCCTAGAGCGGCCCACATAACACCAGTTTTGAAAGAATTGCGCTGGTGACCAGTTGTGGCCCGTGCCCAATTCAAGGTGCTTGCTTTAACATACAAAGCCCTAAACGGCTTGAGGCCTGGTTATCTGAAGGGCCATCTACATCCATCTATACTTACCCACCCACTAAGATCAGCCCAGGAGACCCTTCCATGAGAATCATCTCACTCAGGGAAATGAGAAGAGTGGCAAACAGGCAAAGGGCCTCTTCTGCTGCTGCTCACCTCCCATCTCTGGCACGCCTTCCCTAGGCACCATTTTGGCTTTCTTTTCAGCACCAGGCAAAGGCGTGCCTTTAAAAAAATACCTCAGCCCTCTGTACTGAAGAACCTTTCTAAATTGTTTTTTTAAATATCGTATATTTTTAACTGTTTTAATGCTTTTTTATTATCATTATCTTAGCCGCCAGGAAGGCCATTTTGGCTGTTATAGGTGGCATATAAATATGTGGATAAATAAATAATACAAACCAGTATGGTAATAAAAAATAATTTTCTATGAAAGAGCAACACCAGATGAAATTTCTACAACCCGGTATGGGGCAGCAACTCTAGAGCACTTTCCCCCCAAATTGGCAATATGGTGGTTTCATAAAACTCAGGACCACCTTTTAGGTAGGTATGGTCAAATTTAATGTGTATTTCTCTTCAAATCATTCCTGTGGAGGAAGGACAACATCCATGATGTAGATCTCAGTGCACTTTTCCCCAGCACTATAACCACAACAAAAATTGCAACATGGAAGCTAATGCTTATGCAAAAAGTGAAGCATCTTCAGGCACACTAATCTCTGCCTAAGAATGAGCAGAGCTTTTCTAATTTTAGCTGCAAAGGTTTCTCATGAAGTGCCAGCTCTTCACTATTCCTGGTTACTGTGGTATTTGCTATGACCTGGTTTGCATGATCACCATGGGTTAGAAGGGCCAGAAATAGCTTGACAAGCAGCTATCTGAGGTCTGCTTTCTCCTCAAGCTAGCCACACCTTCTGGGCTGAAATGATATGACAATCCACAGCTGTGTAAATGGTGCCTGGCACATGCTGGCATGCGCTGGGGCTTGAACAAGCCATAGTTTAAGGCATGGAGATCATGGGAACGAGGCCATTGTGTCAGGTTGGCAAGGCTGTCTCACATTGCACAGTATGCCTTCTACAAGCCTCCTTTCCATGTGGATAAAGCAAAGTCCCCTGCAAACCACGTCCTATTCTGCTTTTGGGGTTTTGCCAAATAAGGAGATGAGAAGGGACTGCCTGTGCATACAGGCAACAGACTTGTGCATATCTCGGCTTACTGGTATAGTCTTATGATCACTATTTTTGGGTAGGATGTATTAAAGCAGTTGCTCTAGGAACACTCACAACCATACAGCTCCAATGAACTTAGCCATTAATTAGCAAACCTGTATTCTGAGCAAAAGGTGCCGGTTGGCATGTTCCAGTTTCTTTTGTCTATTCTCCAATTCTTTTGTGCGTTGCTGTTCTCTTTGCAACTTGCGGATATAGTCCACAGATGCCTTTAAAATAGTTCCCTTGTTCCAACGCATGTCCCTGCAAGATTCATGAAAATAATTAAATCTGAATGCCGTAACCGCATTCAGCATACCAAAAATACGACTGAACAAATCAAGTGGCAGGAGGCGAGACACTTCACAATTTTTCTGTTCAAAGTAAAATAAGAACAGAATAACTACACTAGGGGGAGCAATAGATTAACTCATGCCTTGGTAGATTTAGCTTGCTACAGCATTCGTGGCCTATGGAAACAACGGTAAAATAGTCATGTGGCGCTTTAAAGTCGAACAAGTGTCTTCATTCTGGAATGAACAATCATGGACACTGTCTACTTCACCAGATGCATGAAGTATTGACCTTTATGTGTTAACCTTTGGGCTTGCATAACTCCTTTTTTGTTTTTGCTGCAGCGGACTGTCCTTCTAGGAAAAACAACCTTTCACTTCTTCCTCAGAAAGGAAGACATTCTTCCTCAACTGTATACTTTTCTAGAAACTTTGCTCAATCTTCTCTCATTTCCAAAACTATTCATGAGTTTACACAACCGGACAACTCACCCTGCATACAAAGGGTGACAAACAGTTGTTTGGGGAGCGGCCCATGGTGAACCCCACCATGAATTATCCCCCTCTCTTCCCCCTCTGTCCTCCAGGAGGTATCCCAGGGGACACGGAAGCTGCAGCCCCCTTATCTCCCTTCCTTGCTCTGCACAAAGCCATTTGTGTGTACAGTTTTTTCCTCTTCTTTTTTTCCTGGAGATATCTTTTTTGTGATTTCCAAAATGACAGGAGCTAGTAGCTCCTCCAAACTACCCATGCAGCTTTTCTTTGGAAAAATCTCTGAAATATCTTTGCATCAGGGTTGGGTTCGTTTTTTGTTTTGTTTTTTCGAAAGGAAACATGCAGCTATGAATCAACATATGTTTCTGTGTCATAAAACAACTACAGAGTTTTAAATGAACGTTTGTCTTTTATCAACTGTCAAAAGAAACATTCTTAAAAAGGGGATGGCCTCCCGATGTCTGCACTTTCCTGAGTAGCTGGAGGATCATGGAACTAAGGTGGTGAAAAGGTGGGGCACTGGAAAAGTAGGAGTCCAAAGGTCTCACTGCAAAAGGTGGAAAAAGGCCCTCTCTTTTACTGTAGTGGTGCAGTACATGTGAGCAAAAAGGGTGGGACTGAATGCAACAGAGGTAGCTGTAATCAGACAATGTCCATAGTCAGCCGTGTGCTGTGTGTGGTGGGGGGAGGCAGATGGCCTATCAGAGATCTGGACTTCGAACTGAAGATTCAGGACTCCAGCCCTAGTGGGCCCCTCCTAACACTGCCTCTGTTTGAGTGGGTGGACAATTTCCTTTGGCTTTCCACAAGGTTTTACTCAGTAGCTCACAGAAGCATTTAAGAGCACACTACAAGTCTTAGAAAGGGGTGCCTTACAAGCCTGCTGTTGAAATAATGCCTCTGAATACAGCTCTTCCCTTTGTTGTTGTTCAGTCTCAAAGTCCACCCATCGCAACCCCATGCACAACATTCCTCCAGGCTCTCCTTCCCTACCTGAGTAATATATAGTATGCTTTGCTCTCTGTCACAGTGTCATGATGTTGTGCATTCCATCTTCTTCCCAAGCCAATGAAGAAGAGTTCAGAAGGGAAATGCATAATGCTGCCATGGCACAGGGTAAGTGACACCGCAAGTTGCAGGGAACAAGGAAAAAGGCCAACATCACAATGCCATTTTGGGTGGCATTCAAGTGCCTCCTGGCATAGGCACCTCCACTCTAAAATAGAAATATTGTGAACCTCTCTTCTGGACTACTGGGTGAGTCTTCCTTACTTTCTCTTTGTTTTGTTTATAAAGGAGAGGCAGTGTTCTGGGTGCTTACTTTTGCCTTTGTCTGCAGCCAGGAGGAATACAAATTCAGATTATGTTCATTACATGGTCCAATGAATAAATATTTCCTAGACGAACCTAGAGCTCTGCAGTATGCTTCTTCTACATACTGCACGTCTTCTAGCACTACACCCACTGCTACAGTAATAACAACATTCCAAAGTTTATGGCATTCCTGCTAAGGAATAGCAACTCATTCCTCAAAAGGAAGCCACCCTCCTTTAATAATAATTTGTTCTATGATATGACAGTACTTACGGATCATTTGACTTGGGTATCAAAGTGCCAAGTTCTTTTATGCGATCGTTAATATTGAATCGTCTTCTTCGTTCAACTTTTAAGAAACCAACACAGATTAGCAATCAATGGAAGGAAGTAACAGTGTTACAATGGTCTGGCAAAGTGTTGCCGTGATCATTTTTTGCATTTTAGCTGAGAGACAGAATGGATCTTATGCTTGACTCTAAACCACAAAAACTGGAAGACCTGCTGAAGGAGAGCAGAACACCAATCTTTTAAAATTATCACACTTCTTCACTGGTTTTTAGAACACAGGATGAATTAGCCAAAGTCTGGGACCATTCCTGTTTGTTCAAATATATCATCCGACTCCCTCTTGAACATTACTGGAAAGTTCTGTGTATTCATCAGATTCACTTTCAGTGTCTAATTCAGCCTTCCCCAGCCTGCTGCATTCCAGATGTTCTGGGTTTCAACTCCCATCAACTCCAGCTAGCATGCTGAACGATCAAGAATGCTAGGTCTGCTCCAAAATACCCAGAGGGCAGTGGATTAGGGAAAACTGCTCTAATCAACAGGAAGAATACTAAATGAGATCCTTTAGAACTTACAAATGAATTAACACATGCTTGTTAATTCTTAACTGGTTAATAATCTGTGTCTAAAAATGGACATGAGTGATCATGTTTTGCTCTAACCACGTATCCTATTTTTTAAAGCCACAAATGCCTTTTCTAGCAAGATTCTTAATAATGATAGTCTAAATTCCAAATTGGATCATATTAAGTTATGTTTTGGAACATGCTCCAATGAGACATCAGGTCATTCTTTAAGATAAACAGGCATGCATAACACACCTACTGGGAAGTAAATCCCATAAAGTTCAGTGGAACTTTCTCCCAGGTAAATGCATACAGAATTGCAGTCCTGACCAGGCAGTGCAGCATTAGAAACAGACAAATCAGCCTATTTCTGGTCCATGCTATCATCACAAGTGTTCACTCATAATTTCTATTCCATCCTATCTCCACATTCAACTGCATATTTTTAATTTGAATGAAAATGCATAATAAAAAGCATCCTTCAACATGTACTGTATATTTCTAACATATATTTATTTGAGATCAGTCTTTCTCTAAAAAAACACTTTTCTAAATACATTTGATATAATTTTGGGGCTGAGAACTGTACTGGAGTTGCGTATCTGAACTATACAAAGATTGAATACTTTAAGCATCCCTGCAAAGTTTTTAAGACTCAACTCTGAAGTGTTTACAAAATAGAAGATACATATTAAAACACATGCTTTTATTAACAGGTCATTTTCCTGACCAAAAACGTTTAAGAACACAAGCCAGTGGAATTTTAACTGCACAAGCACTGAAGGAATGGAAGGGACAAGTCTAATGCCAATCTCTTTCCAGTGAACTGTGCAATTAGAAAATCCCAGAATATTGTGTGTCGAATACTAAATTTCCAGCTACCCTCAGCTCACATTAAATAAAGAGGAACAATAAACTTACTTAAATTGTGATTGTCTTTCTTTTGTCTTTCTTTGGCCAAAGCTCTTGCCTCTGACTCTGTGGGAAATACACATGCTGTGCATGTTAACGAAGTAGAATTAGAGAAATGTAAGAAGAGCAACATTTGTAAAATAAACATTCCCATATCTCTGAATCTCGGTTATTTCATGTGCATTCTTGCTGTCACCCATCAACACAATATCCCTGAGCCTTCTATATATTTGGAGTGTGTCTGGGGGATGCAGGTTAAGAAATTTGGGGCATAAACTGACAAGGTCTCTGACTAAGCATAATTAACTTGTGACTAGGGACATATGAGGTCTGATAGTGTGATGAAAATCTGATGAATTTTCCTGATTCAGTTCTCTGGATTCCAGTTCATTATCCCCATGCTGGTGCCAACTCACTGACAAGCCAGGACTTTTGTCTCCATGACAAACAACAATCTCTGTATCTTTTAGACCCTAATGAAATTTGTGCAAATAAGCCTCCCAAAACTGGAAGGCTCTAGTATGATTTGTGCTAAACTGATGGATTAGTACAAATTAGCCAACTTTATATAAACTTTCTTCAAGATTCTTTTAATGTGTGGTATTTAAGTAGCTTATGAAGGTCAAGCATGCAACATATATAGTACATCTTTTGTACTGGCCACTGTGAGGTTATATTCCAAATGGTGGCATACAGGGCCCTTTATTAGAAAGACCAAATAATGAACAAACACAGCATCTTCCCTGATGCTGCTGCATGAGACACAATGCTCCATTATCCTTGCCTGCCTTAACTCTTCTTCCTCCATTAAATGGAATAGGCAAAGAGTGCATATTCCGGGAGCGCAAGTCCACACTCATGACTTGGCCCATCCATTCAGAGAGGCTCCTGCAGCTCTGTGCAATGTGACTAGTACCACAAACCTTCTTGGATAACTTGACATTTCACGTTTCAACACAGCATCATTTGAACAATATACAGAACTCAGAATTCTGACCAGGAGCCTCTTGCGCAGTTTCTGTGTATAACAGATGCTTTTTTGTTCCACCAAAGGAGAGGAAGTTGCTTCAAAGCAAATCAGTCTAGTGGTCTCTGGAGTTCAGTGCCATTAGTCCAGCCAGTCCCAACCTAGCCCTCTCGAAATCTTGTACGATAACGTGCATGAAATCCAGGCAGCATGCTCCATGACCTGGCATGATGGGAGATGTTGCCCCCAACACGTTTAGGTTACCCTGCTGGGGTAAACTGGTCTTCAATGGCTGGCAGGAACATTCAACGTTTTCAGAAAGGAGATTTGCCTGGAATTCAGTCTTTAACCTCTGAAAGAGCCAGCCAGTAGACCAGCGCCAACGAACCATGTACCATTACATAGGTGAAACAGGGTATAATCAGTGTTTCTGTCTGCAGCCATGTGCTATGATTGTCCCTACAACTATGTCCGCTGAACAAGCTGAAGCTTCTTTAGAGATCAGTGAGAGATTGAAAGGGAAATGAAAATCCAGCAGATTTTCATGATTTGCTTCTTGTCCCAGATTCCAGTTCTCCAGTCCTGCATTGGTGCCAATTCACTATGGTGCAACATGAGCCAGCTGGTGGGTGTCCATTTTTAATAAGGGGTCATGATTTATACATTAAAAAACTAAGAGAATTTGTGCAAAATTAGCTGAATTGCATAAATCCGCACTTGAAAAGCACATGGTCCTCATGTAATCTGTGAGGACCACACACTTTCCAGGTGCTGATTTATGCAAAGCATGCAAAATATTGCGATTTGTTAGCTTTGCATAACTGCACACATTTACAAAAATGGCACAATTTGTGCAAATCTGCAGAGTATTTTCTAAAACAATGCATGGATCACATCCCATCTTAGATATGCAGGGCTGAAGAAGGAAAAAATGACTTGGCTCAGTTCCTGTGATCAAACTGGAAGAATGTAGGCACTCAGATGGAAAGGAATTCTCTTTTTCTTCCTTTTCCACCTATTATTGTTCTTTCATGAAAGATGTATTTACCCCATGACATGAGATGAATACAGAGATTTCCTCTCCCTTGACTATGGTCACTGCAGCTCCACTCTGATTTCCTTTTTCTGGAAGCTCAGCAGATGATACCTTCAGCTGCCCATTGTCCTTTGGGACTAGAGAATCGGGTTTAGGGATCCCTCTTGCAAACTATTTTAGACTTTGTTATCCTGTGAAGTTACATGTAAGAATCTTGGCCTTTTCCTTTAAAATACACATGTAAGTACCACAATTTTTCCTATCAATATGTTTTTTTTTAATTCCAAGACTGCAATTGATGCATATTTGCACCTTCCACGGGAATGCTTCCTAGATTACAGTTTAAGACTGTTTACCGCACTTGAGGCTTTTCTATTTTAGGCATTCATTGTACACATGATTCCTTACAGCTTTGAATGATGGTGTCACACTTCAGCCTTACTGCTGTTTCCTTTACAAAAATTCCAGCCAACACAATTTGTTTTAAGAACTGGGAAATGGGATATTATTTTAGAGTGAGGGAAATAGCACAGTTTCTCACTGTGTATTTCAGCAATTTCACTATAGCACAGCTCCACCTAGCGATTATGTAGAAAAGCAGTGAAGCAAAAACTCTTTGTAGAACTCTGGTGTCAGTTCAGAGATCCAATGAAAAGTAGATACAATGATTAACAGCCCTGCATATAAAAAGTCATTGTAATCTAAACCGGAGGTGGGAAAGCTGTAGATATTGCTGGATTCCCACTAATCCTGACCACTGGTCATGCTGCTGGCATATGAAAGACAGTCAGTCCCTTTGCAACTGTCCAGCATTTGCATGTGATAAAATTGCCCCGACAAAGTAGCCTTTGTCTCTGAAACACGTTGCATTAAAATAAAAATGTTTCCTTGGTGCCTTTGAGACTATATTCTGGTTTCTTTCTTTCTTTCTTTCTTTCTTTCTTTCTTTCTTTCTTTCTTTCTTTCTGTTCATGGCTGCTGTAAACATCTGCACACTTGAAACACTTCTTGGATCAGTTCCACCATAAGCATTGGCAGGAGGAAAATGTGATTTTGTATATGACTGTGTAATGGCTGTATCCAACCATTTCAACAGCAATGTACACCATGGCACACATTAATATGTTGTAAGTAGAACAATGTGAAGCAGTTGTCTGTATTGAGCAAAATTATGAGACAATTTCTAAAATAGAATCAAAGGGCTTGGAAGAAGTCACAATTTATTGACTTCTATAGTGCACACAGAAGGTCCAGGATCTTGGGATCACCAGTTGAAGAATGTCCAGTTGGAAAATAACCTGCCAGGAACACAAGACAGCCACTGCTGGTCACAGCAGGCGAAGGATGCAGACACTTAGAACTGGGGTCTCAATCTAGCCTGCCATGGTTCCACAGAAGGTCTCCACCTATTTCCTCTAGGATGATCATGGCTTTTTTGCCATTTTCTCCATTCTAAAGGGTGCAACCCTATGCAGAAAAAGTCCTACAAGACGAAGTAATGCCCAGTCAGCCATGCATTAGGCATTAGGTTACGATACGGTGGTATTTGGGAATTTGGGTCTCCATCCCATTTGTCTTTGGCCTCACCTGCCACTGGTATAAAGTCCCTCAATGGAATTCATCCTTTGGCTGAAAGATGTTCTGTATCCTTGTTATAGACCCTTGTTCCAACTAGGCTAGATGGGATTGATGTTTTGAAACTTTATAAGGCTGGTTCTTCCATGCATGGAGAATCAGTTTATCAGTGGCTACTAGCCATAACTGCTGAATGACGCCTCTGAATATGAAATGCTGGAGCATAATTGTGTCTTTCATGCAAACTGCCAAGAAACTAGCCAAGCCTTGGAAAAGGAATACTGCACTAGAAGGGCCTTGGGTCTGGGTTATTTGTCTAGGAATAATTGATTAATGATGGTCTTGTTCTGAACTTTTGTATCTTGTTTTACACTATATTTTATTGTACTTTGTATACTGTACTAATATATATTGTAAACTGCCCTGAGAGCCTTTTACAGCTAAGTGAAGGTATAGAAATTTGATAATAAAATAATAATTAAAGCATAATTCACATTTACCTGTGAGTTCCCTTTTTATATTAGGAAGGTTAGCAGGGCATGAATTGCTGATGTTGAGTCCTGGGGGAGGCAGGCTTTGGTTGCCATAGAGTTCCACAAGATTGCCAGAGACAGGTAACTGGAAAGGAAGGAAAAGGAATAAGGGCTGTTTCTCCTGTTCCACGGAAAGCCCCTTGATATAGAAAGTCAAAGTGACACACAACTTGTATTTTTGCACAAGAGTCTACTGGCAAATGCATTTCTACAAAGGCTGAATGTTACACATGGGTGTAGAGATGATTCAAGCACGATCAGAAATTGCAGCTGGTCCAGAATGCTGCTGACCCATGTGGACCGCTCATAATGTAAACCGGTGGGGTTAAATAACTAAACATATCCTAAACCAGAGGAAAGCAATCCAACAACCTTCCAGACGTTACACACCACAGATTCCACCTGCCCCAACCAGCATGGTCATGGATTATGGAAGCTGCACCTCAAAGTATTTAGAAGGCAGCAGGTTGCAAACAACAAAGGGATTTATCCAAAGGAGTTAATGTCTGATTTAAAAAAATAATTGTTTTGACATTCTTAACTATGAAAATCCAAATGTGTTTTAGATTTTCTGATGTGAAAAAGATACCATCCCCAAGCACACACACACAATGGTTCTTCTTAGATACCGTCAAACCCCAAGAAGTATAAACAAACAAGTGCTGATAATGTGTGTGCCATCATCTAGTCAGACCAGATCAAATGCATCTCACTTGTGATCCTAAATTAGATGAAGGGCCAGAAAGGAAATTTATAACACCAAATTTAATGCTCTAATGTAAATGGCACTTTAACATTCTCTATAGATACTTCAACAGCAGTTGAGCACAGCTACCAATGTTGCAAGCAGGGCCTAATCCATTGCTGAACAGAACAAGCTTTGTTCTCTCTGTAGAACTATTTATAGGATCCTAGCAGGCTACTTCCTCTGCTGAGATTTTGCCTACCTTCTGTTTAGGAACCCTTACAGCACATTTTAATACTGAAAATCCAAAGAACTCTTCAGACAGGCATTGCAATTTCAAAGTCAGGTTTATTTACTTCATAGTATTAGGTCTGAAAATTGCACCTTGTAATACTGTATGTTTTTGGATTCCATGCTCCAAAGTAGGGCCTGTGAATAAGGGCTCTGCACTTGCCACAGGTATAATGCTTTGAATAGCCCTTTTATAAGGAAGTATAAGAGAAACAGGAGTAAACTGTTTAATAACTACTGGATGCATTCCATAAACTTCCTCAAAATTCAGTTCTGACCTTGCTGAGAAAGTTGCTGTTAGGCAACCTGTGCACCCCTTCTTGCTCTGCTTTACCCAAATCTAGAATAATTGGCAACAAAATGAAAGAAAACGTATAAGGCCATATGTGGAGGCCATGTATTTCAGAAAGAACGTGGTCCCAAAATCAGGCAAAAACTGCTCCTCTGAGAATAGAGGTACTAATGACAAGAAGACAGCCAAGTTCAAACAAATACACATGGGGATGATTCTAGGGTTGCCAATACTGAAGCAGCCATGTTCAGAGTCCCAGTTCTGATGTCAAAAACCTGCTGCAGCATTGGAATTTCAAATACGTAGGAATATCCAGGCGGGCTGAGACTCCAAGAGAGCACGAGCAACCCGACAAATGGAGTTTTGTTCAAGGAATGGAGTAGAGCGAGGAGGTGTCAGGCACTGCTCGCACACAAAGTATCCTGGTGAGGCCTCAGCTTCCTTTCCTCATGCTCTGGGGAAAAACACTTAGCTGCATACAGTCACTGAAATGCATTGCAGAGCAGGAACGCATGGAGGTAACCTTTACCTCCATGCTCCTGCTGCCCTTCCCAGAATGCTCACAATCCTTTGGGGATGGAGGAATCCAGCCAGCCTCACTGGAATGCACTGCCCATATCTTGGCGTAAACAAGCAGAGACATTTGTCCTAGTCTGGGTGAAACATTGATAAATGCTTCAGATCTTTTTGACTATGAATGTAACTATGTATAAATGGCTAGACTTTAAAAAATCATTCCTAAGGAAATGTTTAAACATAGGTCACACAGCAGCAAAAAATAAGAAGACACAAGTACCGTATTTGCCATTTGCAGGGCAGGATCCATTAAACCAAAGATCTCTTCATTATAACTTGATTCCAGACTGATGATGTCATCAATTACATCATCCATCTGTAATGGAAAAGAGCAACATATGTAACAAATAGGAACTAGATTTACTAAATAGCATGCATGCTGAAAGAAAATGCCATGCAGCCCCATGCCTTCTAGCTATTCCCAACTTGGTGGTTTTGAGGATTGCTTAACTGGTGGGGAGAGCAAGGAAGGAGAGAGAACCGCAGGGTCAAGTTCGTCTTCAAACACATATGCACTGTTTCCTATCTGCGGCAAAGGGCTGCTTGCGTAGCATCCGATGTTCATCTCAGATGTAGGAGTGCCCATTTCCCAGACCCTGAGGACATACCCACATACCTAGTTCTGTCCAATATTCCCAGTCCTGCTACAAAATTAGAAGTGTGGGAAGAAATCTCTGAAAACAAGAAGTGCTAATAGACAGCATACAAGTATGCTCCTTGCCCTAGTGCCATGAATGTCTGCATATAGGAACAAGCTAAGATGCTACATGACTTTGAATTAATAGTGTGCATCTTATCTCCACAGATGTCAATGGATGCATCCTTATGTCCTCCACTATTTCAACGCAGCAAAGCAACAATGATTCCCAGTAGCCTGTCAAAACTGCATTTTGAAAGATCTAATGGAAGAAATCATGATGACATCGTAAGATCTTCAGTGGCCTATGAAAGTGATGGGTTTCTAGGAATATCCCTTGAATAATTTTATTGGAATTTAAAAGAAGTGGCCCTCCTGCAGGAGCATCTTGGCTGACCATGTGAAAAACTGTAGTTTCCAGACATGTTCTATTGATTGAACATAAAAATATCCAAACGACTTTGGTCAGTTTACAGTACAATCCTAGATATGTCCACTCAAACACCTTATTGAGTTTAATGGGACCTACCACAAGGAAGAAGAGGATTACAGACTTAGCCACAGTTCTATCACACCAATGGTTCCCTTATGTCCAGTGGTATTTCTATTCATTACAACACATTCCCACTGCAAGTACAGGTCACTGCAAATCATTACAAGCATTTCTTCTATGTGTATTTAAGGTATGGCACCTGGAATATTCAGCATTTAATTTCAGTTGCTCTCCTTAAACATCTTCAAAGCTTTCTTTTAATACAGGTGCTCACAACGGCACTTGTACAATTTCCACACCTACCCTCCTACATTTCTGTAGCTAAACTGTTATTTAACAGTTCCCATAAAACTATGACGCTAAATACGGAACTCAAAGAGGAACACTTCAAACACTGAGGGTGCTTCGAGACAAAATTTCATTGTCCATTCACTCTGCCCCATTCACAGAATTGTACTGGCAATCCAGTTACCATCATCTTCCATTTGTAAATCTCCTGTTTCACATTATTTATTCCTTCCTTTTTGCTAGACCAAAAAATACCATTAAAGATAGAACAGCTTCTTGATATCTTTTTAATGGTAGCACTCATAACTCATAGAGAACAGCCCCCTAGAAAGCACCTGGGAAACCACAGGATACTTTGGATTTCCAGATATGGGGTTGGAGGCTGAGCTCTCCGCAGAACTGTGGCTCTGTACTCTTATCCCCCAACTTTTCTCCTGCAGCCACCATGGCTGCAGGCATTCTGGTGGTCTCTAGCTTCCTTCCATCTTAAGCTAAAGCACTGAAGCTGGAAGGCTGAAAACATCCATCTGGCTGAACTGCAGAGTAGTAAGTGTTTGCCACCCCTCTGCTCTGCACTGGATGAGTGTGGGTCTCGAAAGCTTGGAAGCAGCCAGGGCACAATCGACAGGGCTCTGAGACAGTAAAAATAACAGCAAAACTCTCAAATGTGCTGATGGGTAGGAAGTCCCAGCCAATGATTGTTGCTGTTAGTCACGAAGTCGTGTCCGACCCATCATGACCCCATGGACAACATTCCTCCAGGCCTTCCTGTCCTCCACCATCCCCTGGAGTCCACTCAAGCTCACACCAACTGCTTCAGTGACTCCATCTAACCACCTCATTCTCTGCCGTCCCCTTCTTCTTTTGCCATCTATTGTTCCCAGCATCAGGCTCTTCTTCAGGGAGTCCTTCCTTCTCATTAGGTGGCCAAAGTATTTCAGTTTCATCTTCAGTATCTGGCCTTCTAAAGAGCAGTCAGGGTTGATCTCCTCTAGGACTGACCAGTTTGATCTCCTTGCGGTCCAAGGAACTCGCAGGAGTCTCCTCCAGCACCACAAGGCCTCAATTTTTCAGCGCTCAGCCTTCCTTATGGTTCAGCTTTCACAGCCATACATTGCAACTGGGAAAACCATAGCCTTGACTATACGCACTTTTGTTGGCAGGGTGATGTCTCTGCTTTTTAGTATGCTGTCTAGATTTGCCATAGCTTTCCTCCCCAGGAGCAAGCGTCTTTTAATTTCTTGGCTACAGTCCCCGTCTGCAGTGATCTTGGAGCCTAGGAAAATAAAATCTGTCACTACCTCCATTTCTTCCCCATCTATTTGCCAGGAAGTGAGAGGACCGGATGCCATGATCTTAGTTTTCTTAATGTTGAGTTTCAAGCCAACTTTTGCACTCTCCTCCTTCACCCACATCAAGAGGCTCTTTAGTTCCTCTTCACTTTCCTCTAAATGATTCAGTTCATCTGAATGAGACACCTATTTCTAAACACCTGTTTGCTGCTGTCACTACTTGCAGTTTTAGGTGAACATCTAGACAAGATGGTGCCTGGAATTTATTTATTTATGTATGTAAAGCTTTTATACACTGTCCTTCACTAAAAGTCCCAGGACAGGATGCCACTCTGATTTGTGATAACAAGGACAGACCTGATGGCTTCTCTTAGCAAAACTGAATGCCAGAATAATAATCCCAGCCTTCTTTCTGTTCCTGTCTCATCCAGTACCTGCATGCATGATGCTCGGGAATGGGTATTTAGGGTCTGGCATTCACTCTCTGCCCTGTTGCTTTGCTCTTCAAATTTATAAAAGCCCTGTAAACATGAAAGAGAGAGAGAGAGAGAGAAATCAAAAAAGCAAAGCATGAAAGAGTCTTCCCTAGAATGAGCCCATGTGCAAACACATAGCAACTTGGCGTTTTTGGCTATCTCACCCCACTCCCATTCCCAGAAAGTTACATAATATATGGACAAGATACAAAATAGGTGTGAGCACGGCTAAAAAATGGGAGCTAATGTACTAGTAGCTCAGAAAGCAGAGAACAGGAATACAATTGAGAAAGCCCTGGCAGGGAGGCAAGACTGTAAGCCAACATTTGTCCTCCCGGTCTTTTATACTGCAAGTACTGTAACTGTGATGGTACAGTTTCCAATAATCCACTTTCAAACCTCTGTTGTCTTTTGATTCTTCAGTTGCTAAGAGGCTAATTTTTCTGATAAGCAACTATATTCAGCTAGTTGGATGTAGCCTAAATGGGCTATATCTTTTCTATTCAAATGGGAGAAAGCTGCATATTAGCACTCTGTTTAATTTATTCTGAATGACCCAGTCCCTCCAATGATGATCATGCCCTCAAACTTGCTGCTGTTTGCCTATGAGGCTGCCATATGGTCACAATCAAGACTGGGGTTACAGTCCTTTGTTTGAAGACATTTGTGACTTCAAAACATTTTGTTATATGTTTTACATCATTATATCAAAAACAAAATGTTGGTTTATTCAAGACTTAGATCATTATATAGTTCGACTCCTCATAGAAATCCAGCTGAATCTTCACATATTCTGTTTTTCAAAGGGTAGTGAAGGAGCCAAGAGAGAGATTTAAGTCCCTTTTTCTCAGAATAACTCTTGGGGTCCCTAGGTGTTGTGGATGGAAACTGCATTAAACTTCATAATATATATAGCTTTACCATCTTGTCAGATTATCTATAATAATTAGACATCATCATCATTATTATTATTATTATTATTATTATTATTATTATTATTACCAGCAGAAGTTTTACTAATGTCCTACGATCTAGCAAGACTCTTATAGAAATAGCTAGGTGAAGGATGTGCACTGTAAATTAATGGAAATGGGTATCTCTTTGAAGCTTTTTTTTCTGGGCAAGGAAAGGCAAGAGAATGTTGGTTGTAATGTTTGTGTAATATACAACCAAAAATCAGCATGTGTAGCAGCTGATTTTTTTTCCATTTCTGTTTTTTCCATTTGATTCCCATTTGCAAACTAGAGGGCCAATTATCTAAGAGCTTTTCCTGATTATAAGTCCCGGGTTGCATTTATATCAGTCCATAGAAATGTTCTACCATCTACCATACTTGAGAGGAAAGTTAATTTTAAAAAATCATTGCAACCTTATTGTACTTGTAGTTCAGAGGTTTTTGGAGCCTGTAATGCATGTCTTACCATACTGCAATTCTTACAGAGATACAAAGAGGGAATGGACTGTGCCTTTAGTATTTAAGTTTCCTGGTAGTGTCAGTCTGTTTTATCTGTCTCACCTTTAAGCTGATGCGAGTCCTGTAGTTACTGGAAAAATTGCTAAGTTTTTTTCTTCTGCAGTTAAGTTTACAGCTCAGTCAATATGTTCTAATTAGCACATATGCTGATCTATCTCTTCATGTGTATAAGGGTATATGTGTGTGTATCTTTATGTACAAACACATCCATAATCAAAAATTACCCAACATGTTGTGTTACTTTTATCGTTTTGTTACTGCACTGCATTTATATTCTGCCTTTTTTCCATTAGAGAGGAACCAACAGTGGCTTACATAGTCCTCTGTCATTCCCTCACTCAATCCAGTGAGGTGGTTTAGGCTAAGAGTGAATGACCAGCATGAAAACACCCAGTGAACTCCATGAACTTAGTGATGTAAGCCGCCCCGAGGCTTCGGTGAATGGGGCGGCATAAAAATGTTTTAATTAATAAATGAATAAATAAATAAATGGCTGAGTAGGGACCGGAACCTGGATCTCCTGGGTCCCCAGTCAAACACTCTAACCAAACACCACACTGTACAGAAACCTGCTTTCTTCAAGGTTGAACGTTGGTTTACATTATTTTAATAAAATTATAATATCTATTTATTTATTAAAAGCTTTTGTATGCTGTCCTATCATACAAGATCTTAATAATCTAATAACAATATATTATTATAATAATCTAATAAAATACCTTCACACCACATTGTTGAATTACAGACTTTGGCACTATGATAGATGGTGACTGCCTTTGGTTCAGATTGTTATAAAAAGTGGTCAAACAAATTTTAAAAAATAATACAAAGTAATAGAACTCAAGTGGTTGCTGCTAACAATAGCTAAATAGAAGCTTGATGCTTAGAGGACACGGGCTTCTGATTGCTAATTTCTGGAGAGACTACTACTGGGAAAGGGTGAAACATTTGGCTGGCTGCTGTTGGCAAGAGCATGCTAGACTATATGGGTGGAACTAAAGTTTGATACAGCAGGTCCCTTTTTAATGTTCCATGTACATGCTTGGCATAGGAATTGGAAAATATCACTGTGTGAAACTTGCCACCTAAATCCATGCTGAGCCACAATATTATTCCAGAAAGTTTTGGTTGAAAAAAGGCTTTGTATCTAAAAGGTCAGTTGTATCTTTCCCCACGGTGTATACTAACAAAGCACAAAAACGGAGTTCAATAAGGGTATAAAAGGAGGGAATGGGTTTCATTTTTTGTTTAACAATGTACATTTCAACTCCACTCATGTGAAAATTAATGGTGATGAAGGTCTTTTAAAGGAAGAACAAACAAGGAGAATTGGAGTAGGAGCAGTTGAATTTGTTGTTGCAAGGTGAACGTAAGATTCCATGCTAAAAATTAAGCATCTGCACATTTAGATGTGCAAAAATTAAGCATCTGCATATTTAGATGTGCAAAAATTAAGCATTTGCACATTTGGGAGGCCGATTGTTGCTAAAGTGGGGCAATGCGCTTAGCCATTTAAAAAAATCCTACAGAGATAGATGTGGTCTTACCTCTTTTTCGCAATTGGAGTTGAGTGTGAGCATGGCCATCGGGCTGTTGGGTGCGCTGCTTCCAGTGCCAGGCGGCATAACATGATCACCTGTCTGGTTCGGGCATGGTAAGCTGAGTGCTTGGTTGGTGTGCTTGCTTCCTAATGTCGTGGAGAGGTACTGCTTGACCTGCTGCCGCTGAGCTTGTTGAATGTGGTACTTGGTTGGGTTTTCCAGGTGAGTCTGCACCTACAAACACAGAATTAAAAGTAGCAGCACTCAGTCAGTGTTTCCGAATTTACCACTGCTGTGACACTGATTTCTGTAGCACTTCATGGATTCCTCTACTACTGAAGGTTTTGTTTGCTTGTTTGCTTAATTTCTATTCTGTACAAAAGCTTTACAACAAAATAAAATATAAATCATATATGCGATATAAAACAACATTAACATTCACTGAGAATTAAAACAATATTTAAACTAGTTTTACATCTAAACAGCCGAAATTTTACCATTTTGCAAGGTCTGCAGAAAAACAGCTGGCAATGTCCCTAAATTGAATAATTCCAAAATCTTAGTAACATTCTTAGCTCAAACAACAGGTAAATAGTAATAAAATATGAATTAAAGATGCTTATTTCCTATAAAAATTTCCCGAAGTCACCAAAACTTGGTCAAATGTGAATGTAGCAGCACACATTAAAAAGGAACAGAAAATGATGTTGTTGAAGAAGACAAAAATATTTAAATTCACCTCTACCTATATTTGTTATAAAAACTGGAAAACAATCTTTTAAGCATTAAATCACATATAACCAAACGTGGTTATTAAGCTTTCAGGTGCTACACATTTCTTCTGTTTGTGATGGGCTTTATTTGATAGAACTCTTTGTGTTGGCATTCAGCTGTGTTAAAAAGTAATACCACAAAATACAAAGAAACTGATCGTTCCATTCATAACTAAATTCTATTTAAAAATTACTATATGATATCTATAGCCACTAAAAGGGGAAAATCATATTATATGTCTCTTACTAGTCCATTCTAAAATAAAGTTGCACTAAGGTATTAATGCAGCCTTAGTCCCATTACTGTAAATGGATTAAGGTATTCAAAGCGCCTAATTAAAAGATAGCTTACCTGGTAGTGATTATACTCAAGCATTTCCAGCATGGCATTTATATTCCTAGCAAAGCTAAGCAATCACTTTGGCAGCTTTCCTTTTTATTTTCTACTACCCTTGTTAGGCTTACACACAGATAAACCATAAACAAGCTGTCCCAAAAAAGGCACAAGCAACATGGGTGTAGCAGCTCTGGCTTATAATAACCTAAGCTAATTAGTTATGCATGTTCACACAGGGGGCTTTTTTCAGGAAGCTATGCAAGTTTAGCCTGAAAATTTTGGTATTAATTTTTTTCCACGGCTTTGACGTCATGCTTTTTTCATACACATAAAAGGGCCTTTTAAAGTGATGGATTATCAAAGAGATTGATCGTTTGCTTAAGGCCAATTCACTATTCAGCTTTCGTTCCAGTCATACTAGCAGACAATGGTATTTTTCTTTAGCAGTATGATTACTTGTTTCATGTCCACTCTTAAACGGCGCTGCAGTACAACTGCTAGGCACATTTCTTCGCCATGCACGCTACTGCGAGAGAATGCAGCAACCTCCTGATAAGAAGGTGCGGGTCATCTAGGAACTTCCATGTTCTCACAATGGCTCGCTGTGTTCAAAGCATGGCCAAACTACACATCCTACTCTGTACAGAAAGAGAATCTGCTTTATAAACACAGAATCTGCTTTATAAACACAGAATTTGCTTTATAAACACCTTAAAATTAAGGAAGATGGGGTCATCTTCCTTAAAGTGTTATAATTGCACTTTTTCCTTTGCAGCGGCATAGGCTCCATTCAAATGAAATAAGGATGCCCAACGTACAAGTTATGTTGCACGTATTGCTAACGTTACTCTTTGAAGATTGGGAAACATGGACATCCTGCCTTTGGACAAACCACACCAAATCGCCACAAGATAACTGCCACTTCCTTATCAACCCTATTCGGGCTCTCTTGAATAATGCTAAGCTAAACATGAGGAGGGGGGCAGACTAGCCTTGGCCCTCCATTACCTCAGCAAGTAGAGTGCACCCTGGTGAAGGACAGAACTTCCTGCATTTGTGAAGGCCCTGCATGAAATTTTAAATGCTGGTTTTTATTCCAAATTAGCACTCAAAGGCCACCAATCCACAAAGGAAGAGAGCCGCTTCTTTCTTCAAGAAGTCTCTGCTATCCAGTCCGTCAATCTTCTTTCAGTGTGTACTGACTAATAGGAACCATCAAAATGACCCAGATTATCTTTAGTAGAACTGCTTGTCCATCTTCTTTGTTATATAAACCATGTATTGTACTCTATTTTTCAAGCCATTTCCATAGCTGAAAAAAACATCAAAGCCATTCCAACTTATCTCCTACTGAAGCTGGGACACTTATGAAGGTCAAAGATGGTTCATAAGAAGATGAGGAGATTCTTGGTTATGCCTCATTAATCCTTGTTTGTGGGTGGCCATTCCAGTGTCCAGATCATCGGAGTGTGTACAGGTATTAGTATAACCATGTATCATGGATAGTCAGTAAGATACACTCTCATAAAAGTAGTCCCTCTAACAGCATACTAAGGAAGCATCAGTGCTCATACAGTTCTACTATAGCTTAAAGTGACTGAACATTAATGGTTCAGTATTGTATGTATAGAAGAGCTGCTTTAAATGAGTGGATAAGCATGGCCTGTGACTAGAATGCATTCAGGAAGCAGACCCTGACTTGGATCCTCAAAAATGTGAGCAAAAGGATGGAGTATTTTTCAGCCCCTGAAAACCCCATCATCTTCTAAAGAGACTGGGGCATCAAGAGACTCATAGAACAATAAGAGATGGGATGCAACGCTACACCAAGAAGGAAAAATCAGGCACAGATACCTTGAAAGACCAGTCACAAGATGTGAGGCAATTGCCTCTTTTCATTTCAGCTCACTATTCCAAGCTGTACAGAAGGATTCCTCAACCCTTCAAAAACTTTTCAGAAGGCATAGGGGATGAGGTGGGGCAGAAAGAAAGGGGGATAGGAAATTGCCTTCCATGGACTTCCTTCTTTTTGTAGTTCCAAATCATTTTTTTTATTTTATTCTTTTTTGCATCCAGATATCAACATTATCCTGACCTTGTGACCTCCAGCCGATTTGGACTACACATCCTACAATTCGTGACCACTGACTATTCTGGTTGAGACCGAGCTCGGGGAAACTGCCATACCTCATGCCTCCATGTTCTACTGAAGACAAAAGCATGCACCAGAGTGAAATAAAACAATACCACACATTTGTGAGAGGGGAGAGGCAAGAGTTCTGCCAACTTAAGCAAGTTACCTGCAAATGTACTTAGGGAGACCAGTTATTTCATTCTACTCTCTTCTGGAGTTGTCATTTAATTGTGCACAAGGACACACCTAGTTTTTCCTGAAAGATCACTCTGTGCTCCTTACCTATATTTGAAGGATTTTTTACACATGCAGCCTCTTACCGCTTTCTTATTGTGTGGTTGAGTTAACTAGCTCTTTTGTTCACTTTAGATACTTATTTTCAACACAATAGCAATAACAAACAAGAAAGGTGAAACAAAAAGATAGATTCTCTTTTTCATGAAACATACCAATATGCAGCAATCATTAACATCTCCCTTGAGGGGAGGGGGGGAGGAATTATCATTTCCATTTAAAATACATATACTAACATAAGAAGTGTATGTATCTAAATACACATCCATACAACTTCAACTATTGTAGGAGTACACTGAAACATAGCAAGAGCAGTAAGATCTTCAGTCCACTGTGTGAGAGGGATAGGTGTTTTTCCTTCCAAGCTTGGAGCATAAATCTCTATGCAACTGTATCCACTTTCAGTATCCAGTACTATTGTCCTTCTTTTAATCCCCACAGCACAGGTATTTAACTTAAAAGCACATGGACATTCACTCTTACCACAGATTTTTCAATAGCAAAATTTATGCAAGCAGTCCTGATTGCTATATGGCCCCCCTACCATCAGAGGCAGCATGTCATTGTATGTAAGTTGCTGAGGACTATAGATGGGAAGGTGCTGCTGCACTCATGTCCTATTCGTGGGCTTCACATGAGCATTGGTTGGCGGTCATTATGTGATCAGAATGATGGACTAAATGGACCTGGGTCTGATCTAGCATGGTTCATCTTATGTCCAGTGCTTTTTTGTAAGAAAAAAGGTGCTGGAACGCATGGAATTATTTACCTTTCGCACGCAGTCAATCACTGTACACACACCCACACACATCAGTTGTGCAACAAAACATAATGGTCGCTGTCCGCACTCAGCGCACGACCACACGACCAATCACAAGCTGAGGAGCACCATCACAACCAGTGCGGACAAAGCACGCATGCATTGGACTTGACGCACAAGCAGCCCGCATGCACCGTTTTAATGATTTTGCCACCGACCTGCTACGCTCGACAGGGCTATTCAAATCCACATGGACCAAACATCAAATTTTCAAAAGTTACTTTTAAAACTTGGAAAATCTGTCGAAAAAAAGGTGCCGGAACTCTGTTCCGGTGTGTTCTATGACAAAAAAAGCACTGCTTATGTCCTTATGAGTCCGATGCCAGTTCTGTACATCCTGGAAGATTTGGAACTTGGTTAGGTTATTGTTAAGCTATGATTAGGTTTTGTTTCTTGTTATTACTTTTCTTGTAAATTGACAAATTAATATTCTTATGCATATGTGGACAGTTCATCAGGTATACAGAAACTAATACTTTAATTTTGGATGTCTGACTTCCTTTACCAACTTGGCATGGAACCACCCATGGTTCAAATGGTGATGTGTGCTTCAGGTTTTAATGGACACACTGCTTCTGATGCTAACACCTGAATTGGTGTATTGAATATTTGTACTAGGTATCGGTAACAATTTAAAGAAAAATATTGTTTCAAAGAAACACACAGGAAGAGGTCCTCTGTTAAGTAGATGGTAACCAATTTCACACTCTCATTTATTGTATTCAAAGCAGAGTTTAAGTTGATTCAGCACTGAAATAATGCACTTTAAATCAGTCTATGATGCCCTCTTTTAACTTTCTGTGATCCAACGAATGACCCCATTTAGACAAATCTTATACACAATAACCTAGATTTTTTTTAAAATGCCACTATTAA